AAGCTTCTGAATAACACTTCAAAGCTGGTATCTTTGTAAAAGTGTTCTGTCACCTAGTTCTGGTTTGTCATGCAAACAGTATTTCATGTGCTGTATTGCTATGGCTCTGGAAACTTTTACTCCAGGGGAAAGCATTGTTCTGTTCTCCACCAACTCAGCACAACTTTTTGTCTCTCTTAAGCATACTGAAAATGTATTGGAGAACAGGATAGAACTGTCAAGGGTCTGAGATACATTGGCAGTTTATAACTGCATTTTATATACATATTGTAGACAATTTTGATGTACTGATAAGATTTCACGCTAGTTTCATAACTAGCTGATGTCATAAAACTCATGTCTTAATTTTCTGTTTATCCTTGTGAATGGTGTTCTTAATGGTTGCACCTTTTGTAAACCAGAACAAGCCCGTTTAACTTCTCTGGGTTTTTTTGTTCCTATGGCAGCAATTCACTAATGTCTTTCAGTCACATGCACTTTTTATTATCCATAATAGTGAAAATACTTTACAGGAAAGTATATCTCAGCAACCAGTTAAAGCAGAGTAATTATTTTATATGGAGGATGGTCAGTAATTGATTGTCTACCTGGGTAATGTTGATATACTTATTGTGTCAGCATCAGATCTTGAAGTGTTTCAGAACTAATTATCAGATTTTAAAATTTAGGATCAAAATATAAAAGAGTTTTTACTTTGATCTGGCTTAGCATTGTGACCTGACCAGTCATGAGGGTTTTTCAGACCCACTCCTAGCCCTGCTAGTGTCTTGCTGTGTACCTTATCCTCTCTATATCTCCTTTCTTATACTTCTAGTTTTCATAATGTCTTAATCCAAACTTGCTTTTTTTTTTTAACCATTCTTTTGGTTTCTTTCTACATTCACTTTGTTTAACTTTACCACCTTCTTCAAAGGTTTTGTCTTTCTCCCTTTAGTTACCTGAGCAAGAAACCGAGGGAGTTGACATGACAGTTGTATTTCCTAGAATATCTTAGCATTGGCTGATTTTACACATGGAAATAACACTTTTAAAAGTCCTTAGAGAATGTGTGATAATTTAATTGTAGTTCTGGGAAATAAAGGATAAAAACTGTTGTTATGAATAGGAGAAAATGTCCCTGTGTACCTCATTATATATGGATATATCCATCTGCTGGCAGTTGACACTGGCATCTTTATTAAAAAAAAAAACAAAACCAACAAACCAGATAAATCACAGCTGAGTCAGTGACACTACATTGAGATGTAAAATGTTCAGTAGTTTCCTTCTTCTAGATGCTGAATAGATGCTGCTGGTGTATGTGCCCGAGACTGTTATTTCTAATGATAACTACATGATAAATAATGCAACTATGCTTTGGTATCTATATGTAATGTACTTTTCTGGTTCTTACCATTTATAACTTCATGTTATTTTGAACAAAGACAGCTTTTTCTTTTATCTAGTTTACTGTGTTTCATTGTTTCTTTGGGTTGTGCTTGCATTAACATGTGGTTAAACACGTTAGTGTTTAGGTGCTGATTAACGTGTGGTTAAACTAGAGATTTAACTTTCTCACTGAGAGCTGTTATTAGACTGGCTTTCAAGTCAGGTGTGTAGTCAGTGTTACCGCTTAAAATTCAAAGGTTAAGACAAATCCTTTTCCTGTCCTTTATGTTTAGATTAGAGTTTTATTTCTTTGGAGCAAAATGGGCAAATAGGATGTAGAGTATTATTAGAATCATTATATCACTGTCGTTGGTCCTGGGGTTGCCAGGCCTTTTCTGATTATCAGATGCAACAAATGACGTCCAATTTTATTGACCAGTTTGGCTTCAACGATGAGAAGTTTGCTGATCAAGATGACATCGGCAAGTGAGTATAACGTTATACTGACTTTGACTATAGTCTCGGGAGTTTCCTTTCTTACTGTGTATTTGGCTGTGGTTTTGCTGATGATAAATACAAGCCCTTACTGATGTGAGGAAGCTGCCAATCAGTCCTGCCTTTTTGTACCATCTGTGTGCATTGATAGAAACTCTCCTGAACAAGGGAAGCAACAACTTACCTTCCATTTGTCATGTCCTGGTTGTGCCAACATCAGAACACAGTGTTTGTGAATAAATAGCTAAATTACAACTCAGCTTTTGAAAGCTGTGTCTGTCCAGTGACATGGCATTGTTGGGGGCACTTTCTGCTTCAGGTTTGTTTGGTGGTTTTTTTTTGTTTGTTTTGTTTTGTGGGTTTTTTTTGTTGTTGTTGTTGTTTGTTTTGTTTTTTTGGTTTTTTGTCCCCTGCTGA